TCCACAGTTAGATCAAACACCACTCAGTTTACCAATATGAGAATAAAAGGAGATCTTGAACATGGAGGTAGGTATATGATTTTAGTCTGATTTTGAAGAGATATATTCATATAGTTAGTACAGATATAGTCAAGTGGACTCACCCACTTCTTTTCAGCTAAGGGATGTGATATGATAGCTCCAGTAACATTTACTCTTCCTGAGTCCTATTTGTACTTCATCTCAACTAATGACAGGGTACAATTCTAGAATACCCAAAAGAATCACAGTAACATTTGTTTTTGGGAAATATCTTCACACTAAATGGAACCTTTTTCCAGCCAGAACAACACAAGGGAGGAAAGGTATAAACAAAAACCAGCTCAGGACTCTTTCTCAGAGAGGTTCCTTCCCTTTGTAAAAGCTATTTATAAAACTGTGCCTATACCTGTGGAAAGACACCTAACTTTACTACTTCTATATTCTCAGAGTAGAATGTAGAATTAACAGACAAGATTTCATCTTGATGATACTGCTTGCTAAAATAATGTCACACAAATTTTTTGTATGTCAAAAACCATAGATATACTAAGAAGAAAACTTCTGATTTCTCCTAGTAATGTTTAATGTGATAGTATGTCTGAAATGTTGCTCACAAAACTGATAGCAATTTTTTACACTAAAAAATAAATAATATGCTATACTTAATTATAGTATGCAGTATACTGATGCAGTTTCCCCAAATCATCTTTTCTTTCCCATTCCAACTAACATGCTTAAAAACATACTGATAGCAAAAAAGCTGATGACTATAAATAACTGTTACACCTGCAAATGAATTCCTTATTAAATGAAGGTGTTCTAGAAATGCTGAAAGGTCAGGAAAAAAAGTTAACAGTTATTAATACAGGCAAAAAGAGAAAATAGTGACAGAAATTAAATGGCCTTTTGAAGTAGCTAAAAATAAGGGCTTAAAGAGTCAATATTAATACTTTCTACCCATTCCATGACTTATTGGCAGCACTGCTTTTAAGACTAGTGCTTTTTCAGTAATGAACCACTTTTGCAGTTTGGGATAGTTTTTCAATCAAATTAATGTTTCCTTTAAACATGATTTGGTCAGATTAATCTCTGATGCAATTTCTTTGACTTCTAGTAAACTATGCCAAGAATGAATTACTGCCTTGATCATTGTACCTATGGCATTAAGACAGTACTCTACTATTCTGCTCTTGGAAAATGAAGAAAATACACCCGTTAAATCTTCCTTGGTTTCCTTTAGGTAAAACAACAAACAAGTACAGCTGTAAACTAAACTAACCCTACTACTAACTTTTAAAGTTGCATATTAGTTACTGTAAGCTGTCTTTGGAAAAGATGACAGTAAGAACCAGACTAAAACAGAAATAAGAGTGAATCTTAGATGTTTGCAGTTCAGTTTTTAGCTCAACTTCAGACTTCCCAAAGGATTTTAGCCAGTGCATAAACAGATTTTCAAATATCTGTATACAAAGTTTGTTTACGGTTGTGCAAAATCTTGATACCTAAGAGCGTGTGGTTTTCTCAAAGCTGAACTACTTTTCCTCAGAGTTTAAGTCTCTTGATAATTTCCCCAAACTAAATCTACTGACATTTCATGTAAGTTTCATCAAAATTTCATAACTAATTCCTTGAAGTGGTTAGTGAAATTAAGACAAACAGTTGATAAGACTTTGTTCCTACTTCTTGGGGATAATGTTAACCACAGAATCACAAATCTACAGAATGGTTTTGAAAGGAAGTACACTTTGGAGGTCATCTAGTCCAACCTTCCTCTCAAAAAATAGATCTCTAAGGTCTTCTTAAATCAAGCCACTCAGGATCATGTACAATCTATTCTTTAACACCTCCAAGGACAGATATCTTATAAGTTCTCTGAGAAATCTGCTTCAGTATCTAATCACCTCATGGATAAAAACCAGACAACCAAGAAACCAACTATGAAAAATCTTATATCTGATGGGAATCAAAACAGAAACCTAGCTAGAGGAAGATTGTTTTACTACTATTGTTATTCACCAATGCACTCATTTCATCTAACTGTAGAAGATACAAAGTTTTCAGAAGATTAAAACAATTTAAAATATTCAGTTTTTCTTTTCAAAATAATTCTAAAAGGTATATTCTAGACATACCCTAAAGTGAGGTATCCAGGTAAGTTTACAAAAATTATCTGTTCTACATAAAAAAATTACAGGTTTTTTCTCCTTTAAAGATACCCTCTAGATGTATTTTCACTTTCTGTAGGGTAGAAAGTTTCAAGGATAACTGAACAGCTGGCAATTCAAACACATTGAACGAAAAACACTCTATTCCTGTGCTACCTGAAACATGACTAAGAGGTGGCGATGTTAAGATAGGAAAATCCCAAGTTCTGGGGAAAGTCTAAACTTGGATCAAAAAGCACTCTCGGACCTGCAGAAACAAAGCAAGTAGCTCTTGCAGGAACCCATAGTAGACCATCCTCCGTTATGTGCATTTATGTGCAATTTTGAGAATCAGTAACTTTGTCATAAATGCATAAGGAGACAAATCGCAAATACCACTAAGTAGTCCTAGTGAGATTTTGGGGATCCAGCAAAAGAAAAAAATAAATCACAGTCAGTCAAAAATGAAAGTGACACTGACTGCGTTTATAGGACAGGAGGTGGTTTTGAGTCAGCAGTGTTACAATATTAATGGACTTACAATTCAGTTTGGAGAGCTCAAATAGGCCAAGTAAGTTGACATAACAGGAAAGGAAATATTCTTCATAAGTGATAAAGCAATGTTCCTTGTGTTTCTCTGTTAAAATTTTTTACATCTCTGCCACCTCCCAGTGATCACAAGAAAGTCAATGACCTTCATTTTTTGAGGAAGTGTCTTGGTTCCAGCCAGGACAAGGTTAATTTTTGCAGGCATCAGAGGGGCAGAAGAGACCTGGTCAGGACCCTGGGGTTATTTGATGCCACCTCACACCACCTGCAGGGGGTAAGGGGTAGCAGGGCGAGAGTCCTTTCCCAGGGTGTGGGGGTGTGGTCAAGTATGACATGATAACAAGGACATAAGGAGTGCTATAACAAGGACAATGAGCATCATTTGGGATGTGTATTCAGTGTTGCTCTCCTGCCCTTACCTGACTCTGGGTATTTATGAACCCAGTCTGTGGGGGGAACAGGGGAGGATGATTTTCCCCAGCTTTTACCCCCTTTCTTTCTTTCAGCTTGTTACAAGAGCTTTCAAGAATTTTGAATTTTCTTTTTCATTATCACATAATATGCTTTCAAAGTAGGGCAATGGTGAGGTATTACTGATTGAATTGTCAGAAGTGATAGTAAAACTCAGAAAACTGTTATGTTACCTTTAAATAAGGGATATATATCATCCCTTTATCATAGATTGATAGATAGATAGGTAGACAGATAGAAAAATACATACATAGATATATAAGTGAGTACACTTACACACATATATGAAGTTGGAGATCAGATAAGACCAATATTGACAGAAATCTACAACTCCTTATTAAGTATCTCTTTACTGATAAATTTAATATACAAATCCATTCTTAGGCCACAAGGTCTTACACTGTGTCAGATCCCTGATACTGGGGGGAAGGGGGGTTTATATTTTCAGCTTATAAGCTTGAAAGTATTACTCTATTAAATGTTGCGATTATTTTTTAATTTCTAAAACTATTTTATCACTTCCTGTCACCCTATTTGCTAAAGATTGTGTGTAATGCTGATGTGTTAGTGTATAAAAAATAACAGGGTTGGTTCCACTTACTTTGTGCAGATAGACACTGTTGTCTCTAAACATTTCAGGCTACTTTTTCTCTCAAAAGAGATAGCACTGCTTTGATTGCACTGACTTTCTCTTAGGGAGGAAAAAATTTTTGCAGATAGGTCTTTTATAAAAGGACAACTCATCTGAAGCAAACATTTGTTAGAATAAGACTAGGCTAAGTAATTGCTTTAAAATTACAATTTGAACACTTAGAACAATTGTGTTTGTTGTGCATTTTTTGTTTGTTTGGGGGATTTTTGTTTGTTTGTTGGGGGTTTTTTTTGTTGGTTTTTTTTTGTTGGTTTTTTTTTTTTGTTGTTTGTTGTTGTTGTTGTTGTTGTTTTGGTTTTGGGGTTTTTGTTTGTTGGTTGTTTTTTGTTTGTTTGGTTGGGTTTTTTTTAAATAATTAATTTGCCTGCTTTTCAGCCAGGATAGAATTACTTTTTTCACAGTAGCTGGGAGGGGATGGAGCCTGGGGCTGTGTCCTTGTGTCTAGGCTGTTATTGTGTACGACCTCACTGCTGCAGGGTGGCAGTGAGGGCTTCTGAGAAGAAGGTGGACATGGTTTGTGGTCAGGGAAAAGCGTGGTGGCCAGAGGGTCCATCCACCGTTGTTTTTCATTCCTGGGCTTGGTGAGCATTTTTGTATGTAAATCACCCTCTTTTGTACACTTTTGTTATTAATATTCTCGGTGTTACAATTTTTCTTATCTCGTTACTTCTTCCAATAATTGTTATTATCTCAGCCCATAATCTTTGACTTTTGTCTCCTACCTGACGGATGGCAGGAGGAATGGCTGTGGTTAAGAGTGTCATTCCTAAACCATGACACTGATAAAATAAATAAAGCAGAAAAATAACATTTAAAAACAGACCCCTCAGTTCATAAAATTTTTAAATTGCAAAATCTAGTCCTGACAAGACTGGGTAAAATATGTGAACATTGTATACATACTTAAAGGATCATAAAATAATTTTATGTGCTAATTACTTTGGCTGAGGACTGAATCATGGAATCCATGACAAAGCTACATCTCAAAATGTTACTGAGATATCGAGCACTTGTGTCTTGTTAACGCAGAAGACAAAGTTTAAGACATTAACATAGAAATATTACATCAAGAATAAACCAACAGCAACTGAGATCTTACTACAAACATAAATGAGAACACTAATGGGAAAACCATCACCAGTAGAAAGAAACCCAAAACTTACCAGGTTGGGACTGCTCATTTTTCACACTTGTGGTGAAAGTCCTCCACTACTTCCCTCATCCAGGCTGTTTATCTTCATATCAATCTGATAAGAAAATAAAAAACACAACCCTCAGCAAATAAAATAATATAAAATAAAATAAAACTATTCACAAAGTAAAGAATAGTTCAAAAAAAGAAGATATACCCTGGAAGCAAGGTTATGTTATGGATATACAAGAAATAGTAGTTCAGTTTTTATGACCTGTATGCCAGGTTTTCAGTGTGTACTTTTCACTAAAAATAAAACAAAAACTCCCTCTACCCTCCCCTGTCACACCCTGTCCTAAAGACTGCCAGGATTTCCAAAAAGACATATTCTTACTAAAAGCAAGTGCCTTATACTCTTGTCTAAAAGTTTTACTAACAAAAATACAATGTACAGTGAAGCCACAGAACTGAGGTAGTCAAACCATAGGAGAAAAAATGGGGGGAAATAAAAGAAAAGCAGAAACATCGATTGCCAATATTCAGAGCAAACGTGTGAGTTCTATGCTTTGGTTAAACTCTAATATAGATACCATGACTGTTTACACAGAAGGACAGATGTTTCTTCAAATACATTTTACTTGACAATTATGACACTAGCTTATGCTATTTCACAGAATCATAGAATAGTTTGGGGCAGGGGGAAGGGAGAAGTTGGAAGGGACCCTTGAAGGTCATCTAGTCCAATCCCTCTTCAATGTGGAGCGACATCTTCAACTAGATCAGGCTGCCCAGAATCCTGTCAAACCTCATCATGAATGTTTCCAGAGATGGGGCATCTACTGTCTCTATGGGAAACCTGCTCCAGTGTTTACCACCCTCATTGTACAACAATTCTTTCTTATATCTAATTTAGAGTGACCCTCCTTTGGTTTCAAGCAATTACTTCTTGTTCTATCACTACATGGCCCCGTAAAAACTACCTCTTCAGCATAAGTAGCCTCTTTTAGTTATTAAAAGGTGCTCTAAAGTCACCCCACATCCTTGTCTTCTCCAGGCTGAACAATTCCAACTCTCTCAGCCTGTCTTCATAGGAGAGGTACTCCAGCCCTCGGATATGACCCTCCTCTGCATTCACTTCAACAGGTCCAAGTCCTTCTTATGAGGGGGTCCTCAGAGTCGGATGCGGTACTCAGTGTGGGTTCAAACTTAGACTGTGGAAGGACATCTTCCTTTTTGGTATAGTTTATGACTGTATGAAAATAGATCTGATATTTTCCATCCGAGTTTGACTTGTTGTTACATTGCTGGTTTACTACTGTGGCATGTAGTTCAGCAGTGTCTTATTTCAGTAACTTTGTAACTCTGTCAACATTACTTATTCTATATTATTTAGTTTTATTTATTTTTCTACATTCTCTTTCACAAACATTGGCATTTGAGGCATTTTCTCAAGATCTGTTTCCTCTAAAGAAAAATTTCATCATAGAGACCTCTCTCAGTTCTTTCACTATAACCAGATAACCAAAGATACAACATAACTGGTATGATACTTTCCTGGTGGCCTAACAGATACAGTACCAGAGGGAATTTCCTCCAGTCCTCACATCTGGGTAATCATGTTACATGGTCTATATATATAGTCATGTCTCCAGACAAATAAGAGTAATGGAAATGCTGTTCCAGATTCTCGTTTTTATCACATTAGATATCTATTTTAAAGTTTACATGTGTCTGAGGCCAATTAATACTCATTTGTTCCTGATTATACTTAGTATAATTCTTGTAAAGTATAATTCTTGCAAATAGAAAAAGATCCAAATCTTTTCCTAATATGTGACTGGAATTTAGCAGACTAAAAGAAGAGATCAGAATGATCAGAAAGTAATGAAATAAAAGCAAAAAAGCCCAAACCCCTCAGAGCCCAGAAAGGCAGCAGAGTCAAGAGACAGCAGTAGTATAGACTGCAAGCCTTTAAAAAGGTCTGTAATCAGTCGTTTCAGCAATACGTGTTATGGTATAGTTCAGAATTCATTCATGATGCAAACAAGAGTTTTTAGCATCTTCAGTGAATGAGAGTATATACTGGCACTACAAGAATTTTTTCTTTCTTTTCTTTTCTTTATGAAGATAAACAAAAAAACCACACAAAACCAAACAAAAAACCAGCAGCAGAGATCCTTAATACCAAACCATATTTCAAATTTTTCCATAAAGATGTAAAGACATGATGGGTTAAGAAATAAGATAACTGCTTATGACTTTTAAAAGTTTGTTAAATGTACAGGTGACATTCAGCTCAGATCTTTAAACTGCCAGTCCTAGAATCAAGGAGCATTTATCAAGAGGTTGCTCACTTTATACAAGAATCCTCACTTTCCCTTAACAATATTGGAAACAAACTACTGCTGAGCTTAACATCTGGTCTGAACAAATAAAGAAATTCTCAGGGTGAAAAAATCAGATTTTTGCTAAGTTGTTTAAGTGTCTTCCCAGCTGAGAAATCAGAAATATCTTACCATAGAGCAATGTGAAAAAAATTACTGAGGACATGATAAGCATTTGAATCAGGAGCCATAATTATAATTTTTGAGGGTTTTATTTGTTATGCTGCCATTTTATTTTTTTTATCACAACTAGGAATGTTGAGTTACTATGTTATGTTACTCACTAAACAGCACCTTTTCAAAGGGACTATTTATAAACAAACATACTTTCTCAGTGTAATCAAAGAATGTTGAGGCTTGATTTTCATTGCATGACACAGAAAAAATTGAGATGGCACCTGCAGAAAGAGCAGCTCCCAGCAGTAAATCTACTATTAAGCTATTAACCAGTTAACACATTGCCTGTATCTGCAGTCTGACATCCCCACCACTACCAAAATAAGTGTCAGAATTCATATGTCAAAATGCATGCATTAAATGGAGCGCTCTTCCACATGACAGAAAAGATCCCACTCATTACATTAAAATTAAATGACATATTTTCTAAAAGGATGCTGTGCACACATATACATTTCAGCTGCAAGGATAAGATGCTGACTCTGCCCACAACTGAAATACAGCCTCATGACTTGAACAAGATCCAATAAAGTCCCTATGGGCAGTGGGCTTGAAAACTGAGTATTTTATTAAATTAATCTCCTGTAGGAACCCACTCATTTTTAATAGAAGAATCAGGTGGTTTACATGGTTTGTTTGACCACAAGTGAAGGATTCAACCTAATGTTAGAAAATAGTGAAACAAGATTTCCTATAAGCAGTAAATTAGTTTTTTTATCATTGTCAGCAAAATGTTACTCAATTCAGAAATACAGTGCCTCCTTACCTCCTTTCTTATTCTAAAAAGCCAGTTGCTATTTGATACGACAATAGTCTTGTTAGAAACAAGAAACTTTCAAGATATTTGTCCATGGGATTAATGTATCAGTTCCTGGGATTTCTGTTTCTGGAGAGTAGAAAGCAAAAGAGTAAAGTATCTCTGAAAAAATAGAGCCTTTATTGGTAGTGTTTGAAAGGGACACATGCTAGTGTACCTTTAAATAGATGGATACATTTAATAAAAAATGTTTTTCTTGGGATTGCTCTAATAGATTAAATTCTTACACCATAAGGATGGTGTACCTATTTGAAAGTTAAGAGATTATTGTTTGATAAAGTGCTTTTTTGCAGGAATTTTGAAAAGAGCTTTGGGATAAAACTAGATGAGTTTCAATATAAATAAAGAAATTAGAAACCCATAAAAATTAAACAGATATTGTTGACAAGATATTGTTGTGGCAACCAGACATACAGCATGAATTAGTGCAATAAAAGTAAAAGATTTAAGAAAATTTGTTATATTACAGAGCTTATACTAAAAAAGTGGTATTAAACCTCAACTATAAACTTTTTCTGCTTCTGGCTCTGTGTTGGGGAGAATGGGGAAGAAAAAAAATACATCAAACATTTCTCTTAGTAATGCCAAAATTACAAGCAACCATGTTAAATCTACCCTTTCTAGTTTGTTCAGTGTTAGATGAAAAAAATGTCTTTTATTTGTGTTCTATCTTTGTATGATTACACAGAATGTTAAATCAGGTCTTATCTCAGCCCTTTTAAAATTTCACACTTTCTAATTCCTGCTCAGCATTGTCTCCTAGCTACACTCTCCATTTACTAAACAAGTGCATTATTTTTATCCCAAGAGATATCATCTTTACTTAGAAATATAGGGAAAGTGCAAGTGCTGTAAAATTCTCTGACATGGTGAAGTGTGGGGTCTCACTGGAAGCAGTCATGAGTAGTGACTGTTCTGTCCCTGGGGAAATGGTAGATGGGGTAGATGCAGAAATTTCTACTCATTCACAGCTCATACTGCCAAATAGTTCACTGCACAAAATGAGCTTCCCTCACATCTACGGTTTGCATTTTTCATATTTCCTTTTCTGATATTTCCTACAATGACACCTCTAAAAGACACCAGAGCATTTTTGAAAAAGCCCTTCCTCAGGGATGTCTTAGACTTCAACCAGTTTAAGCTGTGCAACAATGATTTTTTGAGCAGACTCCTTAGCTTATACTGGTTCCTACAGTGATGATAGCAGTTGTTCCTACATTTCACATACAGAGAAATGTAATAACTTACATTCAACTAGAAAAGTTAAGGTTATTTCAGACAGAGCTGTCATCTTAGAGTCCTATTTATTTTAGTTATAGTGACTACAGTATTGAGAATACTACATTGATTTGTTACATCAGGTACCACAGTAAGTAAAAATTGTTTTTAAATCATGGATTATTTTAGCCTCCTCCACTAGTACTCTGAATGGTGCTCATGTCTATCTTAATGTCCAACTATATATTTACATTTAACTCAGGTTCAAAATCCAACCTTCACCTACTTAGAGTGCTTAGGATTTTATGTTTCCTTATCCTTTTGAATCACCCTTATCTTCTTAACTTGCCAAATTTTGTCTTCAGGACTATATCAATGATACTAGCTGAACATAATGATTTTTCTTCTTTTCACTGAATACCTTTACCCTTCTTCCAGTGTTAGCTTTCTCTCATCTCATCAACTCAACAACAGCATATCTGGAAGGAAAACCAGAATTTTATCCTGGAGACAATTATG